TAAGAGCAGCTGGATGCCTGCACTCAGTCAGCACTCGCTCCCGATCAAGCACAGCGATGCAGAAGCATAAGAGGAGGGGAACCCATTAGTACTCTTACACCTTCCACAATGCCCTCACATCAGCAGGTGGGGATAGAAGTTCTCTTTCTGTTGGACACCTCCAGTGCCAGACCTGGTGTGCATGTGACACAGTAGGAATCTGAGCTACTCCATCCTCCCCTCTCACCCTGCAGGCTCCTGCCTAGCCGGCTCCTTCTCATGCCTACTTGTCTCCATCCTGTAGGTGTTGCAATGCTGTCCTGGGATATCTGTAAACCTTCTGGAAAGTACCTGCTTTCTAGGCAACATATGGCCTTGCTCAAAGCACATTGCCATCATTTGAACTGAGACCTTCGCTGTCAGCTCAGAGGTTAGGGCTAGGCTAGGGGAAAAAGTGACAGCGTGCATCTTCCAGAAGAGGCAGGAGTTCCAAAAGATGCAGGTGTCATGCACCTTCCCTGACCATCTGATACTGATGTCAGTGAAGTGTCCCTTGTGGGCCACCAGTGCATGCAGCACCATGGAAAAGAACCCCTGTGTATGAAGTCAGAGGCACATTGGTCAGGGCCAGGGATGGGGATGTTGCTGACATCTATGGCCCCTCCATGGTTGGGGAAGCCCATGTTGGCAAAGCCACGGTGGTGTCGATGTTGCCCAGAATGATGACCCTCTGTGGTAGCATGTGGTTGATGGCCGTGGCTACCTGCAGGAGCACAGCCCCATGACTGTAGATTTCCCCACCCTGAACTGGTTCCTGGCTGAGCAAGATTCCATGGTCATGCACTTTTGCACAGGAATGTCAGGTCCAATGCAGGTTTCCTGTTGTCTGAGGGCAGAAGTTCTGCAGCTGGTGATTATTGTCCCCACCCTGCATGACAATGCAGTCCCATCAATCCAAGCACGTCTTCCCTCCTTCAGAAGTTGAGTTCAACTGTGTCTAGGGGATATAGGAGTATGCTCAGCAGCAGGAGCACCAGGACATGGCTAAGCATGGCCTGCAGGCCATACCAGCATTCATCCTCCTCATCCTTGCCCTGTTCCTGTTGGAGCAACATCTGGGCATGAGGTCCACAAGCATGGCACTTCTGTACAGCAGCTGTGGCTGCATGCAGACAGTGCTGTGGCATTCATGTGGGCAACCAGTGCACGAGAAGCAGGGCCGGCCCAAGCCCTTTTGGTGCCGTGGGCTGTCCCCGGGCACAAGGCGCATGCATCAATTTAGGATGACCTGAATAACTCATGGCTTTACCTCTCCTGACTAATATGGTGAATATCAAAGGCTGCTGCGCGCCGTGTCGTGCCGTGCAGGGCCCCGCAGCCATGAGGGGAAGGGTGCTGCTGGCTGGTGCCATGGGGCTGGTGCTGCGGAAGACGGGTGCACAGCTCCTGATGGAAGCTGTAAGGGACGCTGTGCTCCCCTTACAGCTGCCATAAGGCGCCCTTCATCGGTTGGCACCCTGGGCAGCTGCCCAGCTCACCCATGCCTCCGTCCAGCCCTGACAAGAAGGTGTGTGCCTATTGCCCACTGCATCCTTTTTCTGTCCTAGAGGGAGGCAATGAATGAGTGCTTTGTGAGACGTAGGCATAAAGAGGAGCCCCTGTAAGCACGTGTCACAATTTGCCTGAGCAAGCAGCCACAGGAAGTATCTACCCTCCTGGTACCCTCCCCAGAGGGATTCTAGGGGCTTTAAGTCTGAGTCAGGCTCTGTTAAATGTGGACGTGCTATTTTGGACTAATTTTGAGGCTTCCCCCTAGTGAGGACATGCATGTTTGAATTTATTAAATTGGGAGTTGTTAAGTCCAGGTTTAAAACCCCACTGTACTTGAGAGGCACAGAAATTGAATCCAATTCTCCTATGTACCCACTGAGCACCCTAGCTAATTGGATATTCTCACTCTCAGCTTCCACTGTTTAAAGCTGTTCCACTCTGTGTGAGATATTCATGGGGCCAAAGAGGAGCCAAGAATGATTCTCTAGTCCAGTGGTTAGTGCAAGCTCTTGGGACCAGGGTGAGTCAGGTTTTGTTCCCCATGCTAATGAATATTTAATTATTTATACACAGTAATATATTCAACTGCCTTAACCACAAAACAGTACTAATGCTTCCTACAACCCTCTCCTTCATTCTCAGTCCATTTCACCTTCTGTAGGGGGTCCTACAGACAATATTCTCATTTCTTTCACCACTCTGATGAATTCACCGAGCGTCTATCTGTACTAAATGAGGTAGGGGGCCTCTGGAAAAAAATAACATGACTATCTAATGAAAGGTTGCATCATAATGAATATACAGAACAGAGTGGAATCAAGGTTGTACAGGCTACTTCCTATTAGGCATTTCCTATCTTGACTTTGCAATCTGAACAAAAAATTTTCAATATAGTATGTTCATATGTAACTTCCTATATTTTTAAAGAAAAAACAAATTCTACCAACCTCCTATCAGGCATCAGAATCTGTTTTCGAATCCTGAATATTCACAAGTGAAAAAGATTTTCATCACTTGAACTAACAGACTAGCTATCTGCTTGTAGTCTAGATGCTCTCTTGCAAAAGAGTCTTGTAGTCTAGACATAGCCTTTCTCACAAGTTACAAATTTTCTGACCCAAAGTTACTGACTAATGCTATCTTTTATTAAGTCTAAAGTTGCCCTATGCTCACTATTATTATGACTAGGTCTCAAGGTAAATACTAGGCTTTAGGCTCACTATGACTATTTTACAATTGTCTTTGTTGCTTTTCTTGTTCCTACTTGTATTATAGCTTTAGTTTTATTTGCACTATTTTAGCAAGATATAAGCAGTTATTTACCTGATCGAGTGATCTCAAGTTATAGGTCAAAGGTCAAAAAAGCTTCCAAGTTTTTGGGGGTGGTGTCAGAAAAAAAGTGGTTTTGTTCCTTAAAAACACACGCAGGAATTGGCGACTTTCAATAAGTAATAACTCAGACAAATCTCAATGAGAGACTATAAAACTTCTCAATAATATTTTTAGAGCACAGCTTTTAGAAGAACATCTGGTCTTGATTTTTTTTTTTAATTGTGAGCAAGAATTATGGTTTTGCTTTTCATTCAAAGGGTGCCCCCCCTCCAAAGTCACAGTGCCCCTTAGCACCATATAGGTGCTCAGGTAAGTTGTTTATACCACATCATCAGTACTGCTTCCTGTAGAGCTTGTGTATTCCATGTGGGTTTCCCACCAAAGTACTAACTGGGCCTGACCCTCCTTCATGTATTGGGGTGATGTTCACAGTCTTTACCCAAGGACACAGTTTTTACATTTAAAAAGTTTCTGTGATAGATAAAATGCTTGAAGATAAGAAAGAGTCAACAGATCTGTGCTTCAGAAGACCATGCTAAAAGGGCTCCAGCATAGTTCTCTCACATGCCTCTGATTTTAAAATGTTGTAGTGTAGAAATCTGTCAGGTGAATTACTTTCAAACTATGTGGCTACATCTAGACTGGCATGATTTTCCGCAAATGCTTTTTTTCCGTTAAAAACATTTGTGGAAAAGAACTTCTAGATTGACACGGACGCTTTTGCGCAAAAGCACATTTTGCGGAAAAGCATCCATGCCAATCTAGATGCAGTTTTGCGCAAGAAAGCTCCGATCGCCATTTTTGCCATCAGGGCTTTTTTGTGCAAAACAGTTTTTAGCTGTCTACACTGGCCCTCTTGCGCAAAAGCATTCGCGTAAGAGGGTTTTTTCCCAAGCGGGAGCAGCATAGTATTTGTGCAAGAACACTGACAATATTACATTAGATCGTCAGTGTTCTTGCACAAATTCAAGTGGCCAGTGTAGACAGCTGGCAAGTTTTTCCGCAAAAGCGGCTGCCTGTCACTGTCCAGATCAGTGGTCTCCAACCTTTTTACACCCAAGATCACTTTTTAAGTCTCAGAACAGGCGAAGATCTACTGCCCCGCCCCTTCCTTGAAGCCCCGCCTACATTACATGAGGAAATCTAATGTAAATGTACTGCGCAGGTGTGCAGTTCAGAGAGGGCTCAAGAGCTACTCTTGGAGCCCCTGAGATCTACCGGTAGATCGCGATTGGGGACCACGGATCTAGATGCAGCCAGTCACTTTCCCTCATATGGCCTAAAATGTATTGTGTGACCAGGGCCAAAGGTTGATGACTGCCAGCTGGATGTGATAGGTTACAGAGAGATTACACCATACAGAAGAAGAATATTTGAGATAAGGATTACTTTTTTACATAAACTTTATGTAACCCACACACCTAGTGTGGTTACCATGCAGTGGCACCTAGACCACAGCAACAGTTAAAACCAAGAGACCTCTACAGAAGGGGCTAGAAGGGAGCTGATTCTTAGCTCAGAGAGTAGAGGCTTTCCTACTATGCTCCAAAGGTCCCAGGTTCAAATTCCTCTGGTGGTGGTTACATTAACACCTCCAAGAGACAAGATGGGTGAGATAATATATTTTATTGGATGAATTTATTGAAATTGGGAAAATAACACATATTACCTCACTCACCTTCTTCTTCTATTGTCATTGGACTATCATGTCTACACCAGTGTTCTCTGTAAGATGAGCACTTGAGCAGATGCCCAGGAGAGATTTATGTGCCACCCTACCAACTGGCAGAGCACCCACAGCTGACCACAGCTGGCAGCAGGTTTCTATTGGTGGTGCACATCTGTACATGCCTTGGTGCACATTAAAAATATTCTGCGCCTGGTTGGAAAAGAACATTGGTCTACACCAACAGTGCATTAACTCTTCCAGGTCAGTTTGGATGTATGAGTGATTAGAACAGTGATCAACTTAGAGGATGATAATGTTGGTTACTCCAGTGTTCGAAGATAACCATGGTTTTCTGAACTGTTTTAGCCTGTGTCTGCTGTTGACTGAAGTGAAATACAATATGCGTGGATATGCTTTTAGGTAAAGAGCACATGTATCTAGAATAACATTACTGTTCTATGTGTTTCAGGACAACACAGTAACCATGCAAGAACTTCCAGCTTCTGATGCCTCCTCTGAAAAACTAAATTCCACCAACCAAAATATAGGAGCTGTTCAAATGAGGATCAAAAGTGCCAACAGCCACCATGACCGGCATAGTCAAAGTAAATCAATGATCCTTTCTGAGAACGTGAAAGTCAAAGAACCTGTAAGTAAAATTCCACAAGTGTTTCCTGGTCCGATTTTTTAAAACCAAATGAATATCTTCAGACTTATGAATAATTATTTTAGAAACCTTTGCAAGTAGGAACCCGTCCACACCTACAGGTAATAATTAATACCAAATAGTGTCACCAAGCATTAAAGTAAAACTGTTTAATACAAAGATATATCATAGATTTGGTGCTAGCACTTATAATGCCTACTCAAGATCTCCCATCTCATGCTTCAGTATAATAAAAATGAAGCCGGGCTGATGTGGTGTGCTAACATTTCCTTATATATATCACTTCTATAAGCCAGAGGCTAAAACCAGACAAAAGGAGTAAAACAGGCATTAAAACTCCTTGAATAGAGGGAGATTTTGCAATTGACACACCTAAAAGTGTCTTTTTATAGCAATTCTTGTTTTAGAGAGCTCTGATACTGACTGTAACTTAATGTGTTAACTGTGAACAGAGTTTTTATCCATTAAAATGATTTAAAATAAAATAGAGATGGACTCTATAGCCAATTATGTCCCTGCCCCTGTACTCATTCTGAGCTACTAAACCAACTGATTGGTATGAGTCTCCCCTGGTTAATTTTCTTCTGTAATGGCAGCAACTTGCAGCTGAGGCCATATGATGTTACAAAATTATTTATGCAATTTTAGCTACTTTTTTGGACTCCAGATCCATTTTGTTCTCAGTGAATGCAAACGAATTGGGTTAGCTGGGGACAGACCCCCAAGACTCAGACACTCTTCACAACCATGGGAGCTATTCATTGCTCTTCTGGTAGAGAGCTGAATATTTCATAGGAATCCATTATACTAACTGAGATATTAAATGGATTAAGCTTGCTATTGAAATTGTATTTTTTCTGCATTTTTCACTCCAAGTTCAAAGGGAAAATTAACCCACAACACTAGGATACCTTTTAATCATTCTCTTTTTCTATTTGACATGAATGAATTTAGCTCATAGAAGCAAAACATCATATTTCTGTACAGAAAATGTTGCCTTAGATCATGGCAACAGATGAGAGATTAATTTCCGTATATTTACTTTCCAATTTAAAAGTATCATTTTCCTCAGACACATTGCACATATTGCGTTGTTTTTATCCGAAGTGAAATGATCCTCAGCTAGGAACTTGAAATAGTGTTTACAATAATATATTGGAAATACTATAATGCATTATTAGTAAGAACTGTACCTTTGAAAAAGTTTAAAAGTTAAGTATATTTAATGATGCCTAACATATTTTATTGGCTGTGTTTAACAAACAGCACTAGGCTGCAGTTGTTTTTGACAAGCATGAAAACATCACAGCATGAGACTGCAAAAGGAATTATGTAGAGAAATTACAAGTGATCCATCTCTCAATGAATTATCCACCTCAATAGCCTGCAGAACTCAGCTACCAATTAACACCTACTTTATTACATGTTGGGATGTACTTAATAACTTTCATGTGTTTATGCACTATTACCTTGACTGATGCCTCTTGTACAATTAGGCATAATTGGCATATCAATATGCAAAAGTTAAAAGGATTAACCCTCTTAAAACTAATGAGCATTTCTGTATCCAGCTGCTAAATGAGACAAAATTAGCATTTTTCACTTTTGGGCAGGATTTTATCATGCAGTTTCTCATTGTTGATATTACCTTGTTACATAACTTTAGTTCTGGGGGTAGAACACTGGACTGTTATGGAGTAAGGGTTCTAAAAAGTTAAACTAGACATAAATATTTGCTGCAGCATTGCCATAACCATAGCAGGTACAATATATGTTCATTAGTAAGGAGCTGAAAAGTTGCTTTGTGTTACATTTGTTTAGTAGCTAATTATATGAAGTGGTATTTCACTCAGTATATGTCATTTTACCACAAAAACTTGGCTCCAGTATCATAGATTGAAAGCTTGCCATGCTACTGATTTCCTTTCTGTTCCATTTCTTTTCATCTCTTTTTGCCATGCAGAATTTTCTGACTAGATATTGAGACACTGAAAAGTATTCTGGCATATTTACTCATATAAGCCTGTTAAAGTTGTTTGCTAGAGCCAAACTAAAACCACAATTCTTACTGAAATATGCACTTGAAGTGTAGCATTATTTCAATGTAAAAGATTTACCAAAAAATCTGTACTTTCATGTTGACATATCAGATCCTCCATGCCTGATTAGTAAAGGATTTGGGAGGAAGGGGGAAGCAGGGGAGAGATAGGGAAGGCAGAAAATTGCTTGTCTAGTGCCCTGAAAAGAGTGAAGAGTTCTTTGTTGTTGTTGTTTGCTGTTTTGAGTAATATATTCTTGTTTTGTAGTTTTAGTGCACTTAAATAAACAATCTTCAGTGTTTTGCACCCAAAGGAATACAAAGCAGTGCTTAAAAATACATAGACCAACATAACAATTAGATCTTATTACACTGTGCTATAGAGCAAAAAAGACTTCTGCTTTTTACCAGTTGAGAATCTGGCTCTCTGTTAAGATTTTTGCTGTGTATATGTAATTGTATTAATAGTGCTTATCAATTGGCAACATTTTATATTGCTTTCATATAAACTGTATTTCATTGTCTTCATATGAACTGTATTTCATTGCCTTCAGATGTTACTGAGATTTTTTTAACATTAGCAATATGGGTGAACTTATAAGGGGCTTTGTGTTGTTCCATTATTTCACTTACGGAAATGCATTAGGAATATCTACTGGTCTGTGATCTGTTAATGAACATGTTTCTTTTTCTGTTGACCATGGGCCACATCTTCCTCATCTCACACTTGAAAAACCTATTCACTTCAGATAGTTTTGTATAAGTTAAGACAATTCAGGATTTGGTGCATTTTGAACAATTAGAATAAATATCGCTAAACGTGTTTGAATAAAATGAACTCCTAAATGTTGTGTGTAAAGTCAGAAACACATCGATGAAGGATTTTTAATATTGATTTGTAGAGGAGAGACTATAATTTTCTCTAAGTGGTTTGTGGCATTATAAAGTGTTCGGTTCTGTGCTTGTGTGCACATCTTGGAATCTCCTTTCAAAGGTGAACTGATTATTTTTTATAGTGTGACAATGGGGTATATGCAGCATACATAAGTAAAGCCATATGAACTGTGCATTTTGCAGTAGTAAAGGTGCTGATGTACAATAGAGAAGCTAGCTGATGCAAAAGCTTACTGTAGATTATTGTGTCTTTCAGTCTCGGTTATTTACACATTCAGGTATTCTGCAAAAGTTTGACCTGATATTAATGTAGAGTTTAAAGAGCACAACCCTTGAAACTGGGCACAGACTAAAGTAGGCAAGGCCTCCTTCAGTGTTTAATGCCATCTCAGCCGCCAATGTACATCAATATTTCTTCTCTTAACCCTACAGAAATGTATTTTGTTTCATACAGAGCAAATTCACTAATGAAATATCTTCTTTTTTACTGATATTTAGATTAAGAATTAGACTCTGTTTTAGACACACCAAAATGCTAATGTATTTAAGTTCTTTTGATTAAACAGACTTTGTTGGCTTATTTAGTTCTCTGATACATTATCAAAGAAACAGGAAGCAATTTTCTTTTGTTTCTTGCTCTTGTGGGCATAGAATACTTGCCAAAGTTATGTCTAGTAAAAAAAAACAGAAATAAAATGGCTAAAAATATAACCCTTCTGTTTAGCAGAGTTTTTGAGCCATATTATGAGATTGCAGGGCTTGTTCATGTTTCTTTCAAATCAAGCTTATAGTCAAGTTTAAGGCTTTGTATAGATTGTCCTGAAGTAGATCCTGATATTTAATTAAAATGACACTAAATCACATTGAATTGATAAGACTTGGCATCTCAAACAAAGGTAATTGCCCGTATTGGTTTTGTACAAAAATAGAGCTGCTTGGAAAATGTGCAGCCAACACAGACTGTCAACTCCATTTATAGATCAATATGTGAAAACCATTGATCAGGCAGGCATGTGTAACAGTAACACTTTACATTTATTTGTTGTTTTTATAGCATGTTAGGGCTTACAGGATTATCAGCTTCAAAAATATTTTGACTTCCTCATAAATATGTTATCTGTTTAATGTTCATTAAAAGACAGACTAGAGTCCTTTCTAAAAATGTTTTCAGTTTCATTATTCTTCTCATATCACTGTAGGAAGTTTTAGCAGAAAATAGATTATTTCCTGCTCTGTAACATCATTGGAGCTCATTTTTAAAATAGTATATTAAGTGGAAGTTTTTGAAAATTAGTTTTTCCTTCTACTTTTTTTCCCACTGGAGTAAAAGAGGCATTGACAAAATTGTTCTCTCAACAAGTAACTGACTTAATAAATTAAACATTCTCCCCATAAATTGCTAAAAGAAAGCACCCTATTTTATTCTAAAAAGGGTTGTCCACACTTTTCTCTTTTGAGACTTAAGTCTCATATATATTGAGAGAGCGAGAAAGAAAGAGAGAGAGATCTATATCAATATCAGTATATAAATACATAGATATACATACACATTTTTTCTTTGTCTTTCAATGAGAAATGCAGTAGACATCATTATAAGGGAACAATTTTGACCCTTGAATATCTGAGGTAACTCAGTTGTTGCCTGTTCAAAGAACTGTACTAGAACAGCGATTAAAAACATGAATGCACCCTAGGTGACAAAATGTAGTAACTGTTGGTAAATTCTTACTTTGTCATGGTAACCACTTTATTTCACAAAGCATTTCAGTGTTGTTTGAAATAAGTAGATCTGAGTTTAAATCAGTGACATGAATGAAGGTAATTCAATCCTTTTTCTCTAGCAAAGTTATTCTTAGAAGTTAGAAATGGAAAAGACCTGTTAGATAACTTGCTATTTTCCCCACCATTGAAGGAAAAGAACAGAACCTTTCAGATGCTTCCTCTCTATGTTCTTCTCTGTGTAGTTCTAGTATATTTTATGAAATCAAATCAAAATGTCATTTTACCTCTATTATATGTTGTTGAGTAGAATATTGCACATATAAAATGT